GTCCAGGCTAGAATGCAGTGACATGCTCATGGCACCATAGCCTCTGCCTGCCGGGCTTAGGTGATCCTTCTGCCTCTGGCTTCCAAGTAGCTGGAACTACAGGTGCACCACCACATCTGGCTAATTTCTTGATTTATTGTAGAGACGAGGTCTCGCCAAGTTGCCCAGGCTGGTCTCAAACCCCTGGACTCAGGCAGTCCTCTCACCTCTGCCTCGCCAAGTACTGGGATTACAGGCATGAGCCACGGCCCCGCCCAGCTCTCAATCTTCATCTTACTTGACCCATCAGCAGCACTTAACACTTGATTACTTTCTCATCATGGAACGTTTCCTTCCCTCGCTTTATGTGGCATCAGTTCTTAGTGCTCCTACTCGCTGGCTGCTCCTTCCCAGTCTCCTGTGGTGGCTCCCCCGTCCTCTTGTTCTCCACACGCTGGAGAGTGCCAAAGGTCAGTTCTTGCACCTTTACCTTCCCTTCACTCCCTCAACGACCTCATCCTCTCATGACTTCAAACACCATTTGTACACTAATGACTCCCACATGTATTTCCAGATCCAAACCCCGCGTTTTTATCCAGTAGTTTAGTTCATCGCCCTTGCTGAGTAATGGGTGCCTCCGATTTAAGATGTCTGGAACAGACTCAGCTTCCAATTCTCACTTCCCACTCACCTGCCAGCCCCAGGCTACTCCCTCTGTGGTCTCCTCCATCCCTTCAGAAAGGAAGGCAAGTCTTTTCTTATAGGTGGGGCCCGCTGTCGTGGGAATGAGTCCTGGCCTCTGCTCACACTCCACGTATAATCCACTGACAAATCCTGTCAGCTCTACCTTCAAAATACAGGCATACATCATCTTATGGAGCTTTGATTTGTAGTGCCTCACAGATACTGTTTTGTTTGGTTTGGGTTTTTACAAATTGAAGGTTGTGGTAACCCTATGAGAAAGTCTATCGGTGCCATTTACCAGCAGCATGTGCTCACTTTGTGTCAGCAGCTTTCAGCAATGAAGTATTTTCAAATTACAGTATACAGTTTGTTTTTAAGACATAATGCTGTAGCCCAGTTAACAGATTACAGTGTATTATAAACAAAACTTTCATGCAGTGGGAAACCAACAATTTCATACGAGTTACTTTATGTGGCAGAAAGCGGGTTGATTGGACGCATTAGTCCCTCGAAGCCCGCTGGGATGGCCATCGTAATCAAGTGCCACTTCCTGTAATAGTCTCGGTGTCACGATCTCTGTGTCTTCCCGCTACAACTTGATGGCGATGCAGGCTTACTGTGGTGGTCTGGAACTGAAGCCACAACATCCCCGGGGTGCGCCTGTCTGTCTGCTGACCACGGCTCCTGCCTCCACGGCTGCCCTCCTGGTCTAAGACGCCAAGATACTCACCGAGAGTTCGCAGCAGCCTTCGAACGGTCTGTCTCCGCCCTTCCTCCTCCCTCAGGGTGTGTTCTCCCCCCTGTGTCAGTTCATGTCACAACTGCGCAACACTCTCCACGGGCCTCCCACTTTATAACAAAAGCCAGTCTGCACATCCGCCTGTGAGACCCTGCGTGGTCGGGACCCCTGCTCCTCCCCCGTTTCCTCCCCATACCCCTCCCCCGGTGTCCCGGGATCACTGCCCAGTGCTCCGCCTGCTCCAGGCACCCTCTGCCTTGGGGCTGTGGCCGTTCTCGCCCCTCCACCTGAAGTGCCCAGACACCTTCATGATTCCGTCCCTGGCTTTGCAGGTTTCTGCTCCAGTGCCAAACATCCTCAGAGAGGGCCTCACGACCCTATGTAAAACGGCACCTCCCGCCGTGGGACCCCACACCACTTGGCTTGCCTTCCTCACTGCTGCCCAAATACATTGCTGTCTGTCCTCTCATGCTAGCTGTCAGCTCTGTGAGGGCGGGAATTTGGCCTTCACTGACTTTTTTTTTTTTGAGTTGGAGTCTCACTCTGTCGCCCAGACTGGAGTGCAGTGGCTGCTCCCGGCCACCGCAGCCTCGACCCGCTGGGCTCCGGCGATCCTTCCGCCTCAGCCTTCCGAGTAGCCGGAATTACAAGCATGCGCTACCACGCCCGGCTGATTTTTTGATTTATTGTGGAGATGAGGTCTTGCTGCCCAGGCAGGTCTCGAACCCGTGGGCTCAAGCAATCCACTCAACTCAGCCTCCCAAGGCATGGGATTACAGGCTGAGCCACCGAGCCAGGAGTGGCCACTGCACTCCAGTCTAGGTGACAGAGTGAGACTCCAACTCAGAAAAAAAGAAAAAAGAGCCATGGCCAGTGCAGTGGCTCATGCCTGTAATCCCAGCACTTTGGGAGGCCAAGGTAGGAGGACTGCTTGAGCCCAGGAGTTCGAGACCAGCCTGGGTACACAGTGAGACCTTAAGAAAGGGAGGGAGGGAGGGAAAGGAAAGAGCCATAAGTTAGAGCCTCAGTCCCCTGGGATGCTGTAACAGGATAAACACCTTGGTCATCCTGGACAATGCACACACACATACACCTGTCAGTCCACCCACACTCTAATCTCTAATCTTGGCTCGGGGAAGATCTGGTTCAGTGAAGGAAATGCTAATTAGAAGCAGGACACAGTGTAGGACGGGGCATTTCACTCTGCCTTGTTAGCACCTACCCACTGATTTCCTTTTTCAGGGCCTCAGAGACCTTCCCCAATTGATCAAATCCCTGTTACAAGCTCTCCCAGCCGAACAGCCCCCTCCATCATAGCACTCACCGGGCACCGTGGCCAGGTCACAACCACAGCCATGGGTCTCTGACTAATGTATCCTCTAGACATTACATCTCAGGGCAGGATGGTTTTGTGATTTTGCTTATGCTTGTCTTTCCAGTGCCCGGCACATAGTAGGTGTTCAATAGCTGTCTCTGAATTAACGTATGAATAACTAAGCAACAGAAGTATCCTCCTCATTCTTCCTTTCATACATAAGCTCTATCTATGCTTAAATTTAGCTGTGAAATCTGGGTAAAAAGGACTGACGGTAACAGAAACATTGTGTAGTGCATATCTGGTTCCAGGTCCCGCCCTAGGGGGCAAGCTGTTTTCTTCACTTCTAGCTCCATCCCCTAGCTACTGACTCCTGCTGTACTGTGTGCTGTAGCTGACCCTAATTTCATTTTTATTTATGAAGACATTTTAGTCGAGGTTATACGTCTAGGAATCTAAATCTCTTTTATGATTTTCTTTGGGCCTGCAGCTGTGCTTTTTCATTCTTCCTGCCCTTTCCTAAGGCTAGGTGCTGTTTAACAAATAGCATAATATCTAACTCTGTAAACCCAGTTCTCTCAAGGAGTTACGGTAGACATATATCAAGATTTCAGACAACCAGGAGACCATACTGAGCACTGGTGTCCCCACAGATTATCCTACGAGTGCAGGAGAATCAGGCATCACCTTCAAGCCCTGCTAAAAGCCACTTTACTGAGCAAGAGACAATCAGAAGAAACAACTCAGTGTTCACATTAAATCACGACACAGGATTGCTAGAGGAAAGGGCTGTGTCCGACAAAGGTGTGCGTCTACCTAATGCTGTTGTCCATAGCGACTGCATGGCAACAGGGGTCCTCAGAGTCTTGAAGGGGTCCAGGATTCCACCCAGCCATGGCACACACGACACTCATCTGGCCATCACAGCGAAAGCAATGTCCAACCTCTCGTGAGGGCAACTCTGTCACCGCAGACACCATGTAAAGCCTTGCTCAGGCATGTGGCACTTGGTGACAGGCGTCCACCACCTGGCCCTTTTGGCCGCAACCCTGCTGCTGCTTTGCCCTCGCAGCCCTAGACCTTGTTCCACTGCAGTAATACTAGTACCTGTGTGGCCCTTCACGCTTTACAAAGCGTCTGTCACCCCAGATCGTCCATGCCCACGTAGGGTGCAGTACGCAGGCAGGTCTAAGAAGATAATGTGGCAGTAGTGGTGTCACATAAAGGAAGACTGGCTGGCACCGGCAGGACTCACAGGGCTGCATCTCAATTCGATCACGACGTCATGGGACATCACCCACTGCTAGGGGGTGCAAGGACCCGACCCATCAAACCCAGACTTTAAGAAACCGACTCACACTAACTAAAGCGAACATGAGCCTGAGATAGACACCCGCATGCCTCTTCGATACATGCACAGCGAGACATGGCCATCCCAGGACTAGGCTTTCAGAATGCACGTTGGGTACATGCAACCCCATTAGGGCAGTGGTTCCAACCCTTTCTGCCTCCACATCACACAATATCTGTTAGCGTACACCAGTGATTATACAAACACTAAATGACACAATGGTACAAATACCACATCAAACAATGATACTAAGTGTTATGAAGACTGTAAATTTGTAAAATCACAAATATTATAAAAAATACAAATATTACAAATACTACACGACATAATGGAAACACTAAATGATACAATGAGACCAAATGATTCCAGTACTACTTGGTACACTAGATGTCCGACACTGATACTGAGTGATAGACTGCTACATGATACAGTGATGCAAATATAAAAGACAAACTGATCTCAAATGATACAGGGGGAGATGCTCACCATCTGTTTATGTACAAAGCATCTCGTTGACCTTAAGCCTGAGAAGTGGAGCCACCTGGATGGAAACAACTGCAGAGGTGTGGCTGGCTGCAGAGAGCTGCCCTCTGCTCCGCCCACATGGAGATGGTTCCAGGAGCAGCCTCATGGGCCGGAAGAGATGGACAGAGCCTGGTGTTAGAGAAGGTAGTGACACTGGTCCTCCCACCAGCTGAGAAGAGGGAGGAATATGGCTTTCTGAGCCTCACTGATGCTTCTGCTAGAGAACAACTCCAAAATGACCTGTCACGTGTTTTCTTTTGCATCTGAAAAACGTGGCTGGTCTCTATGCCACTCACCAAATAAGTTGATTGATTAACCAGTCGGCCAGTACTAGGGATAAGATTATGCCTCATTTTGAGGGCAGGTGTAAGGCTTCACGGTGAAACGAAACGCCAGAAACAGAGCTGAAGGCTCATAGCTGGGCCATTATTCCCAGATCTTAACACAAACCAGCCATGGCACTATTCTGGGCCCTTATAAACTGGAAGCTAGATGCCAAAAAGGACTTTGAGGTCAGCCAAGGTGAGCTTGGTGACAGATTCTCCGGATCCTGATAGAACCTGTTGGGCCAAGTCTTTCTTTTTTTCTTGAAGCTGCAAGATCTTCTCTTCCACTGTTCCCTCACACACGAATCTAAAAAACAAATAACCAAACTCAAAGCATCATATCTAATAATAATAATATTCACACTTCTTTTACGCTGTAGTTTCTTAGGTTTAGTTTCTTAGGTTTGATTAAGAACCCTATGTTTAGGGACTCCAAACAGCCTTGACTAAATATATATCCACTTGAAGTTATGTGACTCAAGTGGGCTCTTTAGTTCTTTCTGAAGCTAAGATAATGAAGAGAGTCCAAAATCAACAAAAGCTATCCCTATAAAAAAACAAAACAAAACTACATACAGAGATCCAACTTTCACCCAAAAAGCTGTGTCTTGATAAAGTCAGAAGGCCTTGAGGGTTATCAAGTGTGTGTTAGGTATATGTGCACTTATTTACGTACAAAGTGTCTAATTTCTTAGCTAATTCACACTCAAAACAGGTTTTTTTCCTCCCACTCTCTCTCTCTCTCTTTTTTGAGTCAAAGTCTCACTCTGTCTCCCAGGCTGGAGTGCAGTGGCACGATCATGGCTCACTACAGCTTCTACCTCCTGGGCTCAAGTGATCCTCCAGCCTCAGTCTCCCAAGTAGCTGGGACTACAGATGCATGCTACTATGCCTGACAAGTTTAAAAAATTTTTTTATATAGATGAGAGCTCGCTGTGTTGGTCTAGAACTAACTAAACACCAGACTGGTCTTGAACTCCTGGGCTCAAGCAGTCCTCTCATCTGGCCTCCAGAAATTCCACTGCTGTCATTCATTCACTCATTCAGCAAGTACTGATTAAGCACTTACCATATATCATGTACTATAGGTGTGGGGATAATGAGATGAACATGGTTTTGCTTTGAAGAAGAACACAAGAGACAGACATAAAAATAAACAGCGGTAACAATATGACCTGGTTAGTACTATACTAGAAGCATGCCCAGTGTGCAAAAGGAGGAAAAGGAAACCTGTCTGGGGTAGTCAAGGAAGGCTCCACTGAAGAGCTAACGTGTGACTCACAGGCTGAGCGAGGGTGTGCAGACAGAGAAGTGGGGAGGGCACTCCAGGGACCAGGAGCACGTGTGAAACCACGGCTGTCTTAGAACACGATATGTGGGAGGAAGGTCACGTCGGCCATGTTGTACTGAAAGGCAAAAGCTCCAGAGGCTGGTGGAGCAGATCACAAGTGGTTGTGTGAGGCACGCTAAGATGTTTCGATTTTCCCCGGAGGAAGTGAGAGCCACTGAAGAGGTGTGAGGAGTGGAAGAACACAATTAGCCTGATTCGTTAGGAAGAGCTCTTCGGTGGTGACGCAGAAGAACAGGAGTTAGCAAAGCAGGAGCGCAGGACCTGGCAGTGGGGAGGGTTATCAGAGACATTTAGAAAATGCAATTAGAGGAGCTGGATTTTAAAAAGTGAAAAAGAGGGAGGGGTCTAGCTTCTGGAGACATGATTAGATAAACAGTGATAATATTCACAAAGACAGCAACTACAAGGAATAAGTCAATCTGAGATAGGAGGAAGAAAAAAACAATTGCAGTTGGTGACATTGAGCCACCAGGACACATGATTTTACTTGTCACATAGTGGGTGTGCAACAGGTAGTAGTTTATGAGCCAAATGCACAATGAATAATGAATGAAGGAATGAGTCATAGATAAGAACATGGACACTCAGATTCAGAGAGTGAGTAGGGATTTAGGTAGCTAGGTCTGAAGTTTAGATCTTGGATCTAAGATACAGATTGTGAATGTACCAGAGTGAACAGAATTTCTTTTTTTTTTTTTTGAGTCAGAATCTCACTCTGCCAACAGGCTAGAGTGTAATGGCATGATCACAGCTCACCACAGCCTTGACCTCCTGGGCTCAGGCGATCCTTCCGCCTCAGCCTTCCAAGTAGCTGGGACTTCAGGCGTATGCCACCACCTTGAGCTAATTTTTTACATTTTTTTGTAGATACAAGGTATTGCAGTGTTACCTAGGCTGGTCTCAAACTCTTGGACTCAAGCAATTCTCTCACCTTGGCTTACCAAAGTGCTGGGATTACAGCCGTGAGTGCCTGCACCCAGCCAGAGGGGACAGAATTATCTGAGGTAGGGACAGAGTGAGCAGAGAAGAGAGCTGAAGACAGAAAGCTAGCACAGTCACGATTCATAACCAGAGCAGCTTTAGTAGAGCAACAGGAGTGAAAGCCAGTGTGCAAAGGCTGAGGAATGAATGGGAGGTCAGCAAGTAAAGGCAGGCAGTGGTTTCTAGGAAACTTGGTCATGAACAGGAAGGAGGAAAAGAAAGCCACCGTGAGAATGGAGAGTAGCATTGAGGCAGGTTTTGTTGCTTTCAAAGACAAGAAGATCCCCAGCAGGAGAACATTCCACAAAATGACAGCTTGTGCCCTTCAAAAATAAAAATGTGAGAGTCATAAGACACACAGAAAGACGGAGGGACTATTCCAGATGAGAGGAAACAAAGGCATGACAACTGCATGCTACCAGGATCTGGAATTTTCTTTAGTTGTGAAGGGCATCATTGAGGCAAGTGATGAAAGTGAGTAAGGCCCAGATCAAAGTATTTAATTAATGTCAATATTCTGATTTTGAACATTTGTTTGGGGTCATGTAAGAGTATGTAAGCATACTAAAGTTCTTAGGGATAAAAAAGAACCATGCCTATAACTTACTCTCAGATGGTCCAGAAAACTGCTCATACACACACGCACACATACACCACACAGGCGAACTATCTGGCACTGTTCTTGGACCTTTTTTGAATGTCTGAAACTGGGTCGAAATAAAAGTAAAAAGCCAAACGAAAAAGAGTAGAGCCCTTTCCTGGGCTCCCTTGGCTGAGAGGGTGCCCACCATCACACACAGGCTTGTTCCTCTCCAACCCTAAAGGGCTTGCCCCTTTCCTTCCTGTGGCTTGCCTGAGGGCAGGCACCGGGCGTCATTAGTAAAGTGATCGCCAGACACTTTACATTCTGTTAGATGAGTATTAGTAAGACTTCACAAAAGCAGCAGCTGCAAAGGGTTCTGGGTCCTGGAGACCTTTGCTCACCTGTGTATGACGACATCTTTCTGCTGTCCCACTCGGTAAATTCGGTCACAAGCTTGATCTTCAAGTGATGGATTCCTGTTGGAAAAGAGAGAAAGCTCAAAGGTACTGACACACTAGACCACAGGGGGCAAACCCAGCCCACAGCCCACAGGCCCAACTCAGCCCACAGCCTGCTTTTGTATGGCTATTGAGCTAAAAATGACTGTTAAATTTTTAAAGGGATTGATGAAAACAAAGCAAAACAGAACATACAGATCATATGACAGACAACTCTGTGGTTTGCAAAGCTTAAAATATTTACAGAAAAAGTCCGCCAACCCCTGTCCTAGACTATATTGGTTTAAGACAGGCTAGTGCCAGATAGCTTCTTGCCTACCTTCTAGTGAGTCAGACTGTTAATAACTCTGAGTACTATTAACAGTTGACGACTGTAAGTAACATGTGCAACCAAAACTCAATCTGGTCTACAGCTAGATGACCTTGGGTAAGTTATCTAACCTTGGCCCTCCAGGCTTCAGACTGGAAATATGAGGGCTGGCTAAGGACCTTGAAAGGCTACCTTTTTTGATGTATTTATTTCAAGTTGGAGTCTCACTCTGTTGCCCAGGCTGGAGCTCAGTGCCACGCTCATGAGTACTGCAGCCTTGACCTGCTGGGCTCAGGTGATCCTCCCGCCTCAACCTTCAAGCAGCTGGAATCACAGGTGCGTACCACCACACCGGGATAGTTTTTTGATTTCTTGTAGAGATGAGGTCTTGCCAAGCTGTCCAGGCTGGTCTTCAACTCCTGGGCTCAGGCAGTCCTCTCACCGCCACCGCCAAAAGTGCTGGGATTACAGGCATGAGCCAGGGCACCCAGCCCTCTTTTGACTTTAATGTTCTATGATTCAACTAAGGAAACGTGCTTAGTTTGTTTCCTTCTTTACAAATTCTCATTATCAACTCCAACTTAGTTTCTCATCTTACCCCTTTAAAATCTTGGATAATGCTTCTCTAGCTCAGAAAAAGCCACAATTCCTAGCATGCTTTCCTCACTCACGTGTAGAGGGGCGTCCTAAGTAAGACCTCAACACTTTCTCTGGGAAGACGGTAACAGATTGGCTTGTCTGCACCAGTGTGGACTACCTGAAGAACTCGACAGGGACAGCCCCAGTGACAGGGCCCGGTGCGGCGACCCTTGATGGGTAGAGCTGGGAAACCAAAAACCGACACTCGTTATAAGACGTCCACCCGGAAGTCATTAACTCATTCATCTTATACCTGGGAAGGACGAGGTTGTGCTCCTGACAGTGACACTGCATGCAACGAATCCATTAAGTGTATGACTGACATGATTCAAAAATTACTGCAGGGCACAGTGGGTACGTCTGTAATCCCAGCACTACGGGAGGCAGAGGCAAGAGAATGGCCTGAGCCCAGGGGTTCCAAGACCAGCCTGGGCAACTTGGCAAGGACTCGTCTCTACAATAACTTTTTTAAAACATTAGCCGGGCATGGTGGTGCGTGCCTGGAGTTCCAGCTACTTGGAAGACTAAGACAGAAGGATCACCAAAGCCCAGAGGTTCAAGGCCATGGTAGTCACAATTATGTGACTACACTCTATCCTGGGCGACACAGTGAGACTCCAACTCAGAAAAAAGAAGAACATTTCTTTTTCTCTTCCTTTTGGAGTAATGCTTATTTGTTGAGATTTCCCTGGATCTCAACAAGTATGCCTGAGATACGGTATTGTGGAGAAGAGGTAAAATGTTAGCTCTTAGCCATGAGGAAAAGCTGTGCTCCCAGTTGTCACAGATATAGAGTGAGAGTAGCAAGAAAGGGAGTGAACTACTTTAAGTGACCATCTGAAGCCCGGCTTGCTCGGGAATTGAGGGACGTCAACGAGCCCCACACCCGCTTTCAATCTGTGTCTGGGGACCTGTCTGCAGAGGCATCGCCATCATACAAACAGTGCGCTCAGCATAAGACCTCAGTTTCTACTGTCCCTCTAGCCACTGCCCTCCCTGCTATTCTGTGACAAGTTAAGAAGAATCCAGAATCATTACCAGTGCATATCCAGAAGAAAAAGGTGGTTTCCCCCAGTCAGGTTTAGACCAACACCTCCAGCCAAGAGAGAGATCAGCATAACCTTCAAGAGGAAACAAAACATCAACTTTACAAACTAGATCTCTTAACACATCTCTCCTCTGTCTCAAATTCAAGATCAGTACAGACAAGCAACGTGTTCTTACCAAACTGCCTTCTGATGTTTCAATGCACTGTTATTTTCAAAGCATCGACATTAGGATGCCATCTCCCATGCCTGATCTTTGAGAAGGTTCTTACACTTCTGTGTGTGTATAAGTCAATCTCACAAAATTAACTGTGTGCCTGCTGAAGTATACACGACTGTAATATGGAGCCCTGAGGGTGGTCAGCCCAACAAACTTCCAATTACCAGATGACGTCTATTCCTTCAGTCCCTCCCCTCCATTGCTCTGACCTTCCTCTTGCCTGCCATTCAACCATCATCTAAGTCTTTACTCTCTGTAATTAGAGGTCTTTGCTCTTTCGTGTCCTTCCATGTTTCCTCCTGTCAAAACCTCACCTATCCTTCAGGCTTGCCTCTTCCACAAAGATTCTCCTGACCCCAACTAGCTCTGTTCTTCATCTTCTTTTAGCCCTCCTATTTTATTCTCTTTAGAGTATTTGTGCCCTTTGATAAGTATTCTAATAAAAAGTCTAAGAAATTACCAATACTTGGAGGGATACTATGGATATTTTTAAGTTGCTATGTTATAATTATCTCTGTATCACTCAGAACAGTTTGCTCTTAATTATCCAGCTCTGATGTGACCAGCTCGTACCTGAGGGCCCCTGGAGTGGTTAAATGCCTCTACCAAGTCCATTCTCTGTTTGGGATTGACAGAGCCATCGATGGTGGCGTAAGTCAGTCCTTGCCTCTTCAGGTGCAGGGCCACAACTTTCAGCATGCTGGTCCACTGAGAGACGATGACACTGGAAAGGAGGACAGAATGCAAAACAGCCCCCCAGCACAGATTAAACAAACTTGTCTGCAGGGCTTTAGTACCCCTGTCATGCTTAAGACTAGCTGTCAAATGGAGACAAAAAAAGAACTTCTGCTACCAAGGGAGAGAGGCATGCATATAGGTCACACTACAGATTATACTTCCAATTATTTCTCAATCTGCCCTACAAGTTAGTTACTGCTAAATGAAGTCAGAAAAAAGTGGTAGCTAGACTAAAGTCATGATCCCAGCCGCCTTTATTTGGTGGCCCAGTGCTCGTCCAGAGATCTGTGATCATGCAGAAAAAGGACACCCTACCTATACCAGGCAGAACAGCAGCTGCTAGGGTTCCCCATGTTCCCCATGCTCTGCTTTAAACTTATTTGTTTGTTGGTCTTTTAATCTATTTATTTATGAGTCAGGGTCTCACTCAGTTGCTTAGGCTGGAGGACAGTGGCATGATCACAACTCACAGTAGTCTCAACCTCTAGGGCTCAGGTGAGCCTTCTGCCTCAGTCTCCTGAATAGCTGAAAAAATAGGTGTGCACCATCACGCCCAGTTAATTTTTTAAATTTTTTGTAGAGAAGAGGTCTTGCGATGTTGTCTGGGCTGGTCTTGAACTCCTGGGCTCAAGCAATCCTCCTGGCCTCCCAAAGTGCTAGGATGACAGGCACGAGCCACCACACACGGCCAGTTTTAAATTTGTACACTTAAGTATTTCATATATACAAATGCAGAAGCATAGCACACGTGTAAGGTATAATAAATGACAAAATGAACCTCCTTGTATCCAAGCACCCAGCTTAAGACCATTACCAACATTCTAGAACATTCTGATTTTTCCATTTGTCACTTCCTCGCTTTTCTTAACATGCTTCCCAACTTTTAAACACTCCTTTGGACGCTTAGCTTACCCTGGTCCTCTAGGGATGTCCTTTTCAATCTGCCCCACAATATTTTAAATATAAATCACAGAAAATCTGCTATAATCTCAGTGTTTTCTGCTGAGCATCACTCAAGGTCCTTAATATAAAAAACTAAGATTTATAACTGTCAGCAATATCATATTCTCTTGCTGAATTATGACCAATACTCAGATAACGAAATAACGCACCTCTTTTGGCGTCCTGAATTTCTTCGGATTGCCTCCAATTCTGCCAACAGAGATGATATCTGGAAAAAGGTCACACCAACATGGTGGGCTTAAGCGATTCACTTTTCTCCACGTCCTCTCACCTGATGTACAGAAGCAGCTCCTGGCTGGCCTCCAGGCTCTGGTCTTTCCCTAGCTCACTCTCCTCTCCACAGCCGGAGGGGTATTTCTAAAATGTAAGTTTGTCAATCCCTGCGCAGACTAAGCCTCTTCCGGGGCTTCCCATGAGGACAGGACTGAGCTCCTTCAAAAGACCTGCCAGATCCTGCTACCTGGCTCCTGCTGACTCCTCTGGGTAGAAACTCTCACGACACCCTCCTTGAACGGGACCTAATCACACAAAAATTCCTCCAACAAATCACATCTCGTCGTACCGCTGAGCACTCTGTTCCCTCTGCCCAGAACACCGTTCCATGTCAGCTTCATGTCACTTCTTGGCATCCCTCCCCAACCCCCAAAGTACGGGTAGGTACCCCGTGCCTACGTACTACTCCAGTACCTTTTGTTTTCATTACCACAGTCCTTATCACACTATGTAGTAGTAGCTGCTTAATCATCCCTGGCTTCCAGAACTTGAGAGGCTCCCAGGAGGCAACAGCAGCATATGCCTGCTTTATTTCGATACCCACAACCCTTCGTGCGTTGCTGGAACAGAGAAGGCACTCTCCTAGCATCTGCAGACGCAAGTGAAAGAGCTTCACCCACTTCATGACCTGCTCCAAATGTCACTGAACCTGTCCAGACTGAGGAACGATCATCAAAGCTTCCAAACAAACTCCCAGAGTATTTACAAAAACCCTTAGAAAGCACTTGAGTCCATCAATCTCAGCAGTCAGGAGCGGCATGTGGACGTGGACGTGGCCGTGGCCGTGGAGTGTGGCTGTGCTCCATTTTCCTGACTGCCAATGTGAACCTTCCCAAAGCCTGTGAGGGGTGGAGGGGGAAGAAGACCGAACTCAAGTCAATCAGGAGATGGACACGCAGTGGGTCCCGCTCTGCCGTCAAAGGCTGTGCCACCTCGGAACTCCAGCCCCTCATCAGGAAGAGGAAGGGCATGAGCCAGCCAAGTCCAGAGGTACCCTGGGCTTCTGCATTCAAGGCTGCCTTACAGTGGCAACCCAGGCCGCTCCACACAAGGCTGCCTTCCAGTTCTGACAAACATCCTGATGCCTGGGCAGGAAGTGAGTTACAGGACTGTACCATTTGGACTAGTAGAAAGAAAAGCAAGTGCATCTGTTTATTAGTTTACAATAGAACAGAGACAATGAAGTGCCTGGAGTCTTGGCAAGTTTTTTTTTTTGAGTTGGGGTCTCATCCTGTTGCCCAGGCTGGAATGCAGTAGCATGATCAGGGCTCACCGCAGCCTTGACCTCCTGGGCTCTGGCAATCTTTCTGCCTCAGCTTCCTGAGTAGCTAGCTGGGGCTACAGGCATGCACTACCACACCCAGCTGATTTTTTGATGTTTTGTAGAGATGAGGTCTCGCTATGTTGCCCAGCTGGTGACTCCTAAGCTCAAGCAGTCCTCCCGCCTTGGTTTCCCAAAGTGCTGAGATTACAGGCATGAGCCAACTTGGTGTCTTGGCAACTTGAGGTTGTGGAAGGTGCTGTGACTCCCACATGAAAAAGCTGGCAATGGTGTTTAGAGAAAACTGCAGTGAAAGGGGGAGATTCATGGCCCCTGAATTGGGTTCAAAATTCAGTAGGACAACTCCCTCCTTAAGCGGTTTAAACTATTAATGGGGTGTATGTGAAAACCCCTGTGAGTAAATATTACCTGTATTTTATTAGACAGGGAACACAAACTCTTAGGAATGCAAGTTTTAACCCAGCAGCTAACTCTGAAGGCACCACAGCACATCAACTTCGGCCACATGTGGTACTCTGATGTCCCTCTCAGCTATTAGTGGCAAAGAGCTAGGTCAACATTTTTAAAAGTTCATTAAAAGGCAGCACTCCTAAGCCGGGCTTGGTGGCTCAGCCTGTAATCCCACGCTTTGGGAGGCTGAGGTGAGTGGATTGCCTGAGCCCATGGATTCGAGACCCGCCTGGGCAACTTGGCGAGACCTCATCTCTACAATAAATCAAAAAAATTAGCCGGGTGTGGTACAGTGTGCCTGTACTTCCAGCTTGGAAGGCTGAGGCGGAAGGATTGCCAGAGCCCAGCAGGTCGAGGCTGTGGTGGCCGGGAGTGGCCACTGCACTCCAGTCTGGGCGACAGAGTGAGACTCCAACTCAAAAAAAAAAAAAAAAAAAAAAAAAAAAAGGCAGTGTTCCTTTTCTCAAATAATACCATTCCCCTGGTAGTGACCTCCTTTCTAGTTCAATTTTCAAATAAAGCCTCTGAAGAGAGAGAGGCTGAGCCCGGGAATGGCAGCTTAACTCATTTGTGCTCGCTGACATGAATTTACATCTTTGCAAATTCTGTTTCTGAATAATATACATTTGGTTTATAATCCAAATATAAATGCAAAGTACGGAATGCAAGTCAGAATGGTATCTGAGACAAATACTGGATATACCTGCAACTTTCAGCTGTATTGTGCAAAAGGTAATAATTTAGAAAAGACAATTTCACTTGTGCTTAACGACAAGTTTGCAGCAACCAGCTTGCGATTTTTTTTTTAATTTTCACCCACAATCAGTATTAGGGAAGTGAAAAATGTGCTGGTCATGAAAGTGTTAAGATAGTCACAGAGAGAGAAAAAAGGCCCACTTTCAGGGCATGCACAGTCCAAGCCCACAGAAAGGCAGGACTCCGGTTACAGCATAGCTCAGCCTTCCCAGGACTCCAGCCTTAAAACTCTTTGATGGAAACAGAACCCGAATAACTAACAAAGGCAGAAAACAATACCCACAGACGAAGCCTTTCGCCAGTCCCAGCAGCTGCACTCACATGTACTACACGGTCCCTAGAGTCAAGCCTTTGTTCCTCTCCTTTCAAGCTTTCCTGCAACCAATTGCTCACTTGCCTGGGTCCTATCCCTCGCACAAACCTAGCAGGCTCCCATCCCAGTGATCCATGACAGAAAACCCGCCTCAATGTCGGGAATGTCGCAAATCACTCTCTGAAAGACCACTATGCCACAAGGCTTTAGTGTTCTCTGTGAAATAAGATGAGACTTGGATCAGCTCAAATCAAGTGGTTCTAGCTCTGCCAGCAAGTGGCTAGATCCACCCGGACAAATGTGCTTTCACACAGGAAAGTGTGTGAGGAGTCAAAGTCTCTCTACGAGAACAGAGGAGACAAAGGTACCTTGGTGCTTTCTCGAGTGTCTTCAAAAAGCTCTACCTTGAAGCACATGCCATTAAGAGAGACAGTGGCAGATGGCTCTGTGTCATGGAGTTCGGACAAGGTCAGAGCGCTGAGTTGTTCTTCCAAGGAAAGGACAAGGCCTTCACCCTGTAGTTCTGTTGGATTCAGGGCCTGAGTAGAATAAAAAAGAGGACAGGAAGTGGGGAGTCGGGGTGGCAAGCCTTATTACCTGCTGAGGAGGTTGTGATTGTCTGACATTTCACAGGGCAAAATGCCTTGGAATTTGTCCTCAGTACCTCCTCAGAGAAACCTTGGCTAAAGTGTGACTTTGCAAGTTTTTCACCAGATTAAAAGCAAACTAAATGATAAAACTTTTTAAAGACTTGCCAGCCATATTACATAATCACTCCATTTTTTCCCCCAGTTAATTAAGCTACTGATGGTCAAAATACATTATTACAGCTCCTGACATGAATAACATACTCCTCTTGATTTTGGATGTGCCTCTATCCAATGTAAAAGCAATTTTTCAATTTGTGTAACTAACTGAGTTTTCACAACTGGACCCAAAAGCCCCAATATTGCCTGAGGGCAGAAAACACTAATAATTGAATCAGCTTTAGGGCATTCTGAAATACCAAAGTATTCAGAAATGGCTTCCTTTTTAACAAATGTCATCTTCCATTCTAGAACAAAGTTTATCTAAAACAAACAAACAACAGAAACACACCGTTCTCAATGCCATGGGAATTATCAAGATTAACAAAGATTAATATAAACTAAACAGCCCTCTCTTCTCTACCCCCCCAAACAAACAAAAACAAACAAACAAACGCTATTTCCTTTGATCCAGTAGACTGGATCCCAGTTGCAAGATTCTGCAATCGACTTCTCCAGTGGTCCCTCTGAGTCACCATATGATACCACATAAGGGCTTTTCTTACCGACTTCAGTAAAGAAAGATGACAGCAACACTGGCGGAGTCTCAGCAGCTGGGACAGTATGTGGACGGTGCTGGACCTCTGCGCATCTGCTGCCTCCAAGTGCCCAGGTCCACTGGACCCAAACTCTAAGGCCACTTCCGTAAGGGAAGACAAGTCACAGGAAATGGTACAGGGTTTAAAATAGAGAAATATGGGAAGAATCAGGAACTAAGTTAGACTACTTTAAAAAAAAAAAATTTAAGTCAAGGTCTCACTCTGTTGCCCAGGCTAGCATGCAGGGGCAAAATCATGGCTCACTGCAGCCTCAACCTCCTGGGCTCAGATGATCCTTCCACCTCAGCCTCTCAAGTAGCTGGAACTATAGGCATACACCACAATGTCTAGCTAATTTTTTAAAAATTTTTTGTAGATATGAGATCTTGCTATGCTGCCCAGGCTGGTCTCAATCTTCTGGGCTCAGGCAATCCTCCCACCTCGGCCTCCCAAAGTGCTGGGATTAAGACATGATCCATCGTGCCCAGCTGGGACTACTTTAACCTTGTTTGATCTGAGATTCAGTAATATAGTTATAACACACTTCTATACCAATGAAGCCAAATGAAATGTTGGTTTTCTTTGCATTTTAAAAAGTAGATAGAGAAAACAACTGAAAAGAAGTTAAATAACCAGGTCTGGTGTTTGCAGATGAGTATATTTTACCCCGGTTTGAGGTGAGCTCTCTGATACCAAGGATTCCCAACCTCCATTTCTGTACTTCCCTGACTCCGGGTTCCCATTCTCATTAGTCTGGGTATTGATGGGTGCCCCACATAGCTCACCTCTACTGAATGGATTATCAGGGCTTCTCCTCGACTGGTTGCCTCCATTCTCATGTCTTTTTAGATAGGATTGCAGAGCTGACCTGCCTCACATCAGAAAAGAAAAGGCACATATTATGGTTGTGAAGACCAAATAGGTTTACAATGGTCACTGTCTCCCTGTGCCTACAGCAGGACCTTGGCAAATTATAGAAGTGGACTTGTTTTTATTTTTATTTTTTGAATTGGAGTCTCTGTTGCCCAGGCTGGAGTCCAGTGGCATGCTCACGGCCACCGCAGCCTTGACCTCCTGGGCTCAGGTGATCCTTCCGCCTCAGCTTTCCAAGTAGCTGGAACTATAGGCACGTGCCACTATGCTCGGCTAATTTTTTGACTTATTGTACAGACAAGGTCTCACCATGTTGCTCAAGCTGGTCTCAAACCCCTGAACTCAGGCAGTCCTCTTACCTCCGCCTCCCAAAGTGCTGGGATTACAGGTATGAGCCACTGTGCCTGGCCACAAGAAGTGGACTTGCTAAATGATGCCAAGCTCATAGCAAGCACTAGCCAAAGGTAATGCCAAAGAAATAATTATTTAAAAAGCGAAATTTTTTTTAAGTGAGCTAATAAATATAAAATCTAAAAAAGAGAAAAACATATTTACATCGAAATGAGGGGTACCAAATGGGAGAGAGTAAATCTGGAATTTAGGGCACAATAAGACAAAGTGCCAAGAACAGAAAACATGAAGGATTATAAAACAGTTTTTTTCCCCCAGTGATCCAGTGAAATGCTGGATGGTACCTCAACGGTCAAAGATATAATTTTTCCAACACAGCCCCATGGGGACCAGACTAGGTTCAGTGAACAGTGACCACACCCTATGACTACTCTACAAAGAAACCAGTGAGGAACAGATTCAAAATGTTGCCTTCAATGTGTATATTAGACAGAGGTGAGCTCAGGAGGAAGAAGAAAGGGGAATTAAAGAAACAAAAACAGATATCCAACATATCAATAGTACCATAAATACAGTTTATGGAAGTCTGACCCCAACTCACTCCTAAACAAAGACAGGAATAAAACAATACATGTGAGAAGGTGCTTCTTTATTGCACACACCTTGATCTTGCAAAAAACACACTGTAAACAGTCTCTTCCTCTTCAGAAAGCTTTAAATGGTGCAACTGAAATTTACGCTGGGGCAGTATCACCTGGAAGAATAAACAAAAAAGAAACTAGCATGAGGCTACACAAATTAACTGGATATTACAGAGCAAATTCCCCAGACTGAACTGGAAATCTAGTCAATCCCTGGAATACAGCGTCCCCCATGCCTAGAAACAGGACCGTGCTAAAACACAGCATAACCAGACTGCCATAATGCAAGGCTCAGGACCGTAACCCTGGGGACCCCTCATGGGAAAACGGGTGACTCAGGCCCCTGACGCAGAGCAGATACATGGCTGTTCAATCCAAGACAAGGACATGTCATCCTCCTTCGCTGTCCTCCTGTCCTCCCCCCAGGGACAGGGACAGACTGGCTTACCAAAGGTTTGCCAGTAGAGTCCAACTGGCCTTTTGTTCTCCTCAGCAAAAGGCTCTTGGTTAAGATGCTTAACCGCTCTCCTCCTTTCTTTGAACCGTTGTCAACCTGACTCTTCCAGAGACTGAACTCATCAAATGGAGAACAACGGAGAAACCTTTTTGTTGAGGACGAAGGGCACAGGGCAGGGAAGAAAAGTTCAAAGTAAGATATAAGATTTTTAAAAAATCAGATTTTCGGCTATGTCTGTCATCCAATCATTTTTAAAAGTGAATTTCATAGCAAAGTTCTGCTCCACACATCAAAAAGATCCAAGTCAATAACAGAAATCATGCTATAAGAATGTGAGCTTTTCCATTAACAATGTCTCTGCTGTCACAACAGGACATATAACCAACAGCTAGAATCCTAAAGTTTCAAAGGCTAACAAAGAAATTCCACATCCGTTTATGGCTGACTTGGATAAAAGGAAGTATTTTAAAATCAGCATTCTTTCCTGTTTGCTTCAAATAAATTCTAGTCCTGACCCTAGGCCATGTGTTTAAAAGCAGAAATGGTCCAAAACATTTGCTGGACTAAAAAAAGAAGACTTTTGCTTCCTTTAATTCAATCTGTCCTATATTCTTGCATATATATAGGGGAAGTTCTATATCAGTCAGTCAATCAACAGATATTTTCTCATAAACATTTATTTTTTTGTCCTTTAAGGGTTGACCGGCTTGCCATCTGCTACACGAGATTGTCTGGCATACACCAGAGCTTTATCATGAGACATGAAATCACGATCAAGGGTTACGGACAGGGTTCACATCTACAGATCCCAGAAGGCTACTCACCTCAGCAGTGAATACATATCCAGCAAATTGTTTTGAATGGGGGTTCCGGTGACAGCCCAGCGGGAATGGGCTCGTAGCTTGCACACAGCTACGGACGTCTGCACTCGGGGATTCTTCACATTGTGAGCTTCATCCAAGATAATTCGAGCCCAGACTATTCGAAGCAAAGGTGTTGAGATGCCCTAGAAGAAACACAAGCAACAGTATGGAAAAATGTACATGTCCTCAAGGAGAAAAAACAGCCAAGTATTAAGGACCCACTCTTACCTTAGAGCAGGTACACCAAAGAGTTTGAAACCTAGGAGTAGAACCTCTCAATGGGTTCAAATAAACAAGTCACTAGAGAGTGTCAATCCTTGAGTTTAAGTAAGTTTTTTTCCTTTGGGTTTTTTTTTTTAATATCAGAGATGGTGTTTTGAACCCCTGTCCTTAAGCAATTCTCACATCTCAGTTTTCCATAGTGCTGGGATTACAGGTGTGAGCCAGACCCACCATGCTCAGCTGTAAAATGTTTTCTAGAGTTCAACCGTGTTTGAGCAATAGCTACAGGCCAGGACTGTACTGAAAATTCACTCATGCAATAAGATATTTACCAAATTTTACTGAATTTACTAAAAATGTACAGAATGTCTACTTTTAGACATAGGATGCTAAGCCAAACATAAAAACAGTGGCAACGCTTAAGAGCTCAAAATCTAGCATGGGGCCGGGGTAGTGGCTCACACCAATAATCTTAGCACTTTGGGAGGTCAAGGTGGGAGAATGACATGAGCCCAGGAGTTCAAGACCAGCCTGGGCAACATAGTAAGACCCCATCTCTATTAGAAAAAATTCAGCAGGGGAGAAAACCAAGTAGAAAGATAATTACAACGTGATGTCCATATAGTAAATCCCACTGGATAACGCCATACAGAAAAGTGGAAATCTGGCTGCTGCTGTTCACTGCTGTATTCCTGACACCTGATATAGCACCTGACCTATAGCAGAGACTCAACATTTGCTTAAAAAAATTGAATGCTATGACATATGTAAGCACAAAGTGCTAGCAGAGACAGTCAACCAAATGGGGAGAGGGCAGGAAGGAAGTGGTCCAGAAAGGATTCTTGCAGCAGGTTCAAGACAAACCTGGGGGCAGACGCAGTGGTTCATGCCTGTAACCCTAACACTCTGGGAGGCCAAAATGAAAAGACTGCTTGAGCCCAGCCTGGGCAACATAGCAAGACCTCGCCTCAAAAGTCACAACAACAACAACAACAAAAACCAGGAGTGGAGGCAAAGCATTTCACTCAGAGAGAAAAGAAGGCCCAACCCCGTGACAGAGCAGAGCAGGGAGCCAGAAGTTCCGGGGTGTGACGGAGCCACAGGGAGGGATAAGGTGTGGGGGAGATGGGCGACACGCCAGTAAGCAAGACCCCAACGAGCTGGGCACGCCACTGAAGGAAGCTGGAGTCCATGCCCAAAGCAGTGGAGACCCACTGAGGATTCTAAGACGTTCATTATCTGGAAGAAGTCAGAGTCGGTCCTAAGTTGGAGGAATGTTCTGGAGTCTTTCCAAACAGCAATCTGTGAATAACCTACTGTACTAAGAAGGAAAACATCTGCATCAGACTTGTTCTTGGAATAATACTGTATTTTCAGGGAGGGAAGCCCCAGAATACTGATGTGATAAAGCCTCTAGACCACGTAAGTGAGACCACCCTGGACCGGCCTTCTTCTCGGCCACCACTTAGCCTCTGGCCCACCCTAATACTTGCAAGGGGCTAGAGGGGAGGCAGGGACTGAGGGCTTAGTAACAACAAACCAGTCTACACAAGAAACACAAACAACAGCATGAGAGTAAAATCCAAATACTCTAAAATAAAAATGGCAACACGTGAGGCTTCTTATTCAGGTGATTATTACCCCAACTGCAGCTGAATCCTGTGCCAAATACCAACCATATTGCTAGGGTTGGTTATCAAGAATAAGGGAAACTGGAGAGAGGAAAGAACAATTCCTTTCCACAGATGAAGCATTTAGAGCATTCCAGACCTCACAGGATGGGACTCTTGCTAGCTCCGAGGCTGTACAAGACTCCCGTTAAATGATGTGTGGCCTCAACTCTACTTCCATGGCTGTCCCCAAGCCTCACCTCCACACTGAGGTTCGCACCTGGGATCTCTCCCTCTTGCTTCTTTGTGGGAATCTCCTTGGCCACAAGGCTGTAGGTAGTGATGACGATGTCGTATGTCGAGAGGCTGCACAGACATAACACAAAGCAACGGTAAATGATCCCTCTAAGGACTCTAACAAAGAGAGAGGCGGGGGGCTCTCACTATAAAAGTACCGACGACTGGGAGGACAGAAAGCAGAATTCGTTCACCATGTCCTCAACACACACACACGATTTTGGTAGAGAGGTGCATTATACCCACTTTGCTTCCCTCTCTCTTCCCCGATCATGTTTACAGTCTGCTCACTATAGCTAGAACAGCCCTTCTCTTCCCATCCAGTGAGTGAGAAAGGAAGTCTCTGGCTGGGATCCTATGAAGCTTGACATGCTCTGACCAGGCCAGAAAGGATAGGGTTGGAAATTAACATTTCACAGTGATCTGAAAGGGAGGACGCCCCATCCCAGGAAACAAAGAAACCCTTGAAGCTCTGTTCACCTCACATCACTGCTGCTTTCTCGTAATCATCTGTGATGGGTTTATGAAGACCCACTGAGCTAGCTTTGGCACTTGGATATAAAAATATATGCTGCAAACTTTCAGTTTATCTTGTCACACCCTTTACATGTAAGGATTCTTAATGAAAAGCACAGATCTTTTTCCAATTAAGTTTAATATTGTGCATCTGTGAGCTTCAATAAATACTTTGACAAAAATGATACGCCCAATTCAGAGAGGCAACAAGTTGCCTTAGCATCATATAAAGAAATGTAATTGAGATGGATTCCGACCAGTCAACTAATATATTCTGAATACCAATTAAGTTATGTTCAAGGTGCAAATCAAGTGAGATTCATTTACTTCTAAATAAAAAATTGAACAGGCAACCCCTTCTGGTCCCCTCCCACTGTGGGAGTTTTTCTGTCCTCTCAATAAATTCTGCTTTCTCACTTAAAAAAAAAAAATAGAACAATGGCAACAGTACTCTCTGCCAGGGAAGGCCTGCTGGTCTGCCTGCCACTGTTGTCCTGATACCTTCTGACTAAAGTGACCTTCCGTCATGAGAGCTGGTGTGCTGTAAGACTGAGGTCACCAATCTGGTTGCCCTCTTCTTTTTTGTTTTTTTAAGACACAGGATCTGGGTCTGTCACCCAGGCTAGAGTACAGTGGCAAAACCATGGCTCACTATAACTTCAAACTCCTGGTCTCAAACGATCCGCCCACCTCAGCCTCCCAAAGTGTTGAGATTACAGCCACTGTGCCAGGCCAACTGCTACCCTGTTCTTAAGGAGATAAAATACCCCAATATCAGAGGCTGGGGAGAGATTACTTAGATGCAAAAACAAGCTTGCTCTCATCCTTATTTAAGGCAGCAATATCTTCACCTCACAATTAGGAACAGAAAATAATTCCTTTAAAACCAAATGACAAAGACTCGCACTAAGATTACCATCTTGGGAAACATTTTCTTTCCTCCTTCCTGAGAAAATTTCCTTCCTTTCTTTCCTCCCCTTTCAGGAATTTACAGCTAAGTCTAATCATCATAAACTCTTGAGTCTAAAACATCTTAGATGTTTCATATGTAAAAAAAATACAGACATAAAAATATAATCACCCTTTGGCAACTAATCATGAGTATTACATCAGGACGCTCTGTAGGACTGGGCTGGTTCCACTTGCACTCACAGAAAAAGAATGTGGGTCTGGAATGAGACCATCAGCAACCACAAGAGGCTGGCAACATATGCTCCTTGACCAGGGGAACACTGCAGTCACTTGGCTGACAGGGCAGTTCTCCTCACAGCAGTTTTTGTTGGGGACAGTGACGAAGACACACAAAAAACCACCAATCGACTGATCTCAAGATGTAGCTCTTAGTACAAGGCAAAGGGTGTGCAGTGATGAAAGTGCAAATCTGCCTACGGTCTTCACAAATGCCACAAGTCCTGAGGAAAAAGCAGGAAGGGTCCACGGGTCCCTGGAGCCCAGGTGCTGAACACTCCACAACAGCACATTCCACGTTTCCACACTTACACTTTGGCACGTGGTTCCCGGTTTGGCCCATGGTAGAGATAGACTCTGAGTTTGTTGTTGTTCACGCGCTTCTCAACCTCGTTTTTCCAATGATGGATCAGGGAGGCGGGACAGACGATCAGTGTTCCATGGGAAGCCAAGTCAGAGGAGTCTTAAAAGGGGGAAAAATCAGCACCTAGTCACGTTCACTAAGTGGCCTTTACCCCTTTAAGGCATCACCTCTTCCTCTTGACTGACTTTACTCCTTCAATTAATATGCTCACCCACTGCTCTTACTTCTAGACAGAGCCTATAGCTGAATAGAAAATAGAAGAGACAGTCTCTTAAGCCAAAAAAATGATTTATTTTCCCCTGTAGAAGAGTCAGGCAGCTAGACATGGTGGCTCAGGCTTGTAATCTCAGCGCTTTGGGAGTCAGAGGCAAAAGGATTGCCTGAGCCCAGGGGGGTTTGAGACCAGCCTGGGCAACTTGATGAGACCTCATCTCTACAATAAATCAAAAAATTAGGTGGGCATGGTGGTATGTGCCTATAGCTCAAGTTACTGGGAAGGCTGAGGCAGAAGTATCGCCTGAGCCCAGCAGGTCGAGGCTGCAGTAGCCGTGGGTGACAGAGTGAGACTCTCTCTCAAAAAAAAAAAAAAGTTTCAGGCAGAGAGAGGGGCTACCAAAAAAGCAATGCATGCCTGGGCATAGTGGCTCACATCTGTAATCCCAGCACTTTGGGAAGTCAAGGTGGGAGGATGGCTTGAGCCCAGGAGTTTGAGACCAGCCCAGACAACATGGCGAGATCTCGTCTCTACAAAAAATTTTTTAAAAATCAGCTGATCGTGGTGGCACATGCCTATAGTCCCAACTATTCGAGAGGCTGAGGTGGAAGGATATACTGAGCCCAGGAGGTTGAGGCTGCGGTGAGCCCTAAGTGTGCCAATGAACTCCAGCCTGGGCAACAGAGTGAGACCCCGACTCAAGCAATGTACTTTCCCAGAGTGGCCAGAGCTAGAAGCCAGATCACTTCCTAACTCCTGAATTGATTCATCACAGGAAGTATTGAAGTTTCACTATTTTTTCTGAAAAGGGTAACTTAATATGCTTCCACATTAAGTGCAAGTACAGAAACTCTTTTTTAAGAGAAGCAAACATAACTTTGGAACCAAGTAGTGACAGAATATTTACACCGCCGATGCCTCTTCTCTCTGTGTGTGCATGTGCCATCCACATAGGCCACTATACTACGCGGGGAAGCAGAATCCTGCCGCAGCCATGCTCATTAAAGGCCCTGAGAGTAGATGGCCACAGATTTTTTTATCCATCTAACCAACTGAGCACTGTACCTGAATACAAGGCAATTTAACATGTGGTGTTATCTAAACATCACACATAGGAGCTTTAAAGTACTTATAAAGCTATTACGTTCTATTTATTCTTTTTATTGTTATTGTTTTTAGAGACAAGGTCTCACTATGTTGTCCAGGCTGGCCTCAAACTCCTGAGCTCAAGTGATCCTCCTGCCTCAGTCTCCCAAACAGCTGGAACTATTTAGCCCGCATCACTGTGTCAGGCTAAAGTCATTACATTTTAAAAACAAAGATAGAAATTGTGTATTTTCTGCAAATCTCTGGAATTTCAGAAACAAAGGAAACAACTTCCACTATGGTAGTCAAAATTAAAATTTGTGATGGATCTTCTTTAAAAATATACATGAATTAATTTGGATCTACCCTACAGTTCTATTCTCAACAAAAACAAAAATAATAATTATTATGCTTAAACTAAGTTTTCAAGAGTCTTAGCTTTCCCCCCAAAATTTTTTCTGATCACAGATCAAACTAAGTTTATATTAAAAGGGAAAAAATGACCACTTATAATTAGCACAGTCAGCAACAGAAATTATACCATAGGCAAGGAATCAAATACCAGTTTTCCAGTAGATTAATATGACTAAAGGTATTCTTTCGTAGCTTAAAACTTTCCCCTCTCCGCTGGCTCAAATGACATAGGGAATGGCAGGCCATTAAGGCACTTCTGCCTACCGTCTTTAGAAAGCCACATCACAGGCATGTTTTTGTCTTTTCCTTTGTTTTTTTCTTGATTCTTCTGGATCAGGATGAGTGCAATCATTGTCAGGGTTTTTCCTAAGCCCATATCATCCGCTGAAAAATAAAAGCAAAATTAAGAGAGTTAATTACAGCTGGGCTTGGTGGCTCAGCCTGTAATCCCAGCACTTTGGGAGGGTGAGGTGAGTGGACTGCCTGAGCCCGCGGGTTCGAGACCCACCCGGGGAACTTGGCAAGACCTCATCTCTACAATAAATCAAAAAATTAGCCAGGCGTGGTAGCGCACGCCTGTAGTTCCAGCTACTTGGAAGGCTGAGGAGGAAGGATTGCCGGAGCCCAGCAGGTCGAGGCTGCGGTGGCCATGAGCATGCCACTGCACTCCAGTCTGGGTGACAGGGTGAGACTCCAACTCAAAAAAAAAAAAAAAAAAACAGAATTAATGACTTAGAACAAAGAATAATCCAACTTCAAGAGAAGTCACCACTGGCAGACATTGACTCCTTGTTCTCCCTGCTGTCAGTGCCATTCCAGTCACTACTCTGTGCCCAGCCTAATGGTTTCTTTGTCATCCTTATTAAAATAAACCCAAGCTCTTGAGATCTAGGTCAAAGACATAAATGACTCTTGTAAAATTTAAAACTTATCATTTAAATCTTATTCCAGTCTCCAAGTTACATTGTTACCTGTCTAACGGCCTGATTGCTATCTATTCTAGTCTGATGATGGTGCCTACTCTACTGCCTTCAAAAGCAAAAAAAAAAAAAGGCCAGTAGGTATTTCCTACTCCTTACTTTATGGCACTACCACGACCACATTTCTGGTGTTAACTCAAAGCAGTCTTCCAGGGCTGGGTGCAGCAGTACACACCTGTAATCCCAGTACTTTGGAAGGCCAGGGAAAGAGAATTGCTTGAGCCCAGGAGTTTGAAATCAGCCTAGACAACACAGCGAGACCTTGTCTTTACAAAAAAAAAAAAATCAAAAAAATTAGCCAGATGTGGTAACACTCTTCTTAGTCCCAGATACTCAGGAGGCTGAGATGTAAGGATAGCCTGAGCCCGGGAGGTTGAGGCTCCAGTGAGCCGTGACTGTGCCACTGCACACCAGCCTGAATGACAGAGACCCCAACTCAAAAAAAAAACAAAAAACCAACAAAAACGCATTCCCTTAATTTATTCATCAAGAAGGACAAAATTTAGTATTTCTCGGGTACTCTTGTGTGCCCATCACTGAGTTTATCTAACTTATTACTCATACCCTACAGGGTACTATTATCCTCATTTTAACAGATTACAAGACCAAGGTTCCATCATCAGGCTACAACACCCATTCAAAATAATCATTCTGACATAGTAGAAGTAAAATGTCAGAGCATGGGCTCTCATTCAAATTCTGGCTCTGCTAACTGTGCAGAAACAGAAAAAGAGCTAACACACAGCAGGTCATCCGCTGTCCTTTGAAAGGCCTGCGAATAACGTCAGCCCTTGCTGGCACCTGGGAACTTGGATTTAGGGAGGGTTCTCAACACTTCAGAAGTGGTAAGAGCGGCTCGCTCTGCCTCAACTCTTCATACAAACAACACGATTCCTATCAAACACCTGCTTTCCTTCTGGGAGTATGCAAGTGTGGTACGTACCTGGCGTGAAGCTGCGTAACCAGCCCCCAGCAAAAACCTGGGGCATTGAAGCTCTGATAAGCTGCCCTGGTTGGAAACACTTATACCTGTTGTCACAGCTCACTACTGGGAGAATGCAGCACACCCCACACGACTCCACTCCAAGAGGACCCTTGAGGTTTGTGCCTGATTTCCCCTGGATTTTGCCGTTTGCCTTTTCTTTTTGCTGATTTTGATCCGTATCCTTTCACTGTAATAAATCATAGCCTAACAATCACAGTAGGGCTGCATCCTGTGAGCCCGACTGGCAAATCACTGAACCCGGGGGTGATCTTGGGGACCCTCAACACAGTCACTTACTAGTCATAGTGGACATCTGTCACAGTTCTGAAAGTTGGGTACCTTGGAAAATCTGAGCCTGACAAGTCCTCAAAGCGATTGGAAAACTTGCTTTCTGGCATCTCTTGCAGCTAAGGCACTGGCCATGTGACCTGGCTCAATGTATCAAATGTACTCATGCAAGTCTTTAATTCAGGTGTAAGCAACTTTATAAAACAGACTCCTGTAAAATCCTTCCTGCAGGAAAGGGCGGATCCAGAAGCATCAGACTTTGGGGTGGGCACTGGCTTCCTTTGGTGTTGGGTGGAGCACAGAAGCTAGGATGCTTTCCACAGGACACTCAGTTTATGTCTTGGCTGTGGCCTCTGCTCCTGGAAATTTAGCCTTGAAGCCTTGTACTCCACATCTCAGAGATTCTAGGGTTACCACAGTCAGCTTCTACTGCTTGAAACCAACATCTCTGATCCTACAGCTGTGACTTCTGAGCAAGCTGCTTAACATCTCTATACCTCAGTCTCCTTATCTGTAAAATGGTGACTGTAGTACCTGCTTCATAGAGTTGTTGACAGGACTGAATGATACACTATACACTTAGCACAATGCCTAAACATTCAGTAAACGTGAGCGCTCATAAAATCAAACTGGGCCAGATGTAGTGGCTCACGCCTGTAATGCCAGCACTTTGGAAGGCCAAGACAGGAGGACTGTCTGAGCTTAGGAGTTTGAAACCAGCCTGGACAACACTGTGAGACCTTATCTCTACAAGAAATAAAAAAAATTAGCTGGACATGGTGGCACATGCCTATGGCCCCAGCTACTCAGGAGGCTGATGCTAGAGGATAACTTGAGCCGGGCGTCTGAGGCTACAGTGAACCATGCTCATGCCACTGCACTACAGCTTGGGGGTCAGAGTGAGACCCCAACTCAAAAACACACAAATAAATGCATAAGCATTTTTTAAAAAGAGGTTATCAGAATGAATTTCTTAAAAACAAACAAACAGCCGGGCTCAGTGGCTCAGCCTGTAATCCCGTGTCTTGGGAGGCTGAGGTGAGTGAATTGCCCGAGTCCGCGGGTTCGAGACCCGTCTGGGCAACTTGGCGAGACCTCATCTCCACAATAAATAAAAAATTAGCCGGGTGTGGTAGCACGCTCCTGTAGTTCTAGCTACTTGGAAGGCTGAGGTGGAAGGATCACCGGAGCCCAGCAGGTCGAGGCTGCGGTGGCCGCGAGCAGCCACTGCACTCCAGTCTGGGCGACAGAGTGAGATTCTGACTCAAAAAATAAAAATAAAAAATAAAAACAAACAAACTTACCCAGAATTCCCCCTTGTGGCTTCTGACTTTCTCGCCATAGTAACCAAGCTAATGCTTGCTTCTGGTGCAGCAGCAAAGGGACCTGACAAATGGAAGAAACAAACGCTAAGTATAAATTCCTAATGAGAGGGCATGCCAAGCCTGGTTATACAGATTCTACACTCTATTATTTTCTACAAGTAATCCCCTCGAAATCCCAGTCGTTCTCATATAGACTGCTTGTTTCACTTTGAAGTCCTTAACTGCACCCTCTCACCTAGGGTGACCATGCCAGTCTGGTCCACCCCAGTTTACATTTTGGTTTGTGCCTATGTTCAGCATCTCTATTAAGATCCCCCCATGCCAATAAGCATCCTGACTTGTCTGTTGAATCAGTCAAAAGTAGCTTCTACTGCTTGTAACTAAGATCCCTGACTGGTCACCCTACTCTCACCAGCCATGACCTTGACTTTTTCTCATCATCTCTTAAATGTGCCTCTCCTCTCAACATCCCAGTCCACGTGGCTAGTCGAAAACCTCAACAGCCCTTTAACTAGAGACCCCTTCTGGTCCTTTTGCACCCCAGTTTATCTCGTGCTCTGTGAGAAAAACCGTCCAAAGCCATCCCTGCTCAAAGGCTATAGTGATTCTCTACGGTCTCCAGAGTTACTCAAATTGAACCCTTCACCAACACCAGGCTCCACAGCAAGGGAGTCCTCCTGTTCAGCATCATTTGCTTGTCCTGGCTCAGGTACCGGTGACACCTGATCATCAAGTATTAATACCAATCTCTAGATCTTCCCTCTAATTGTGGTGTTTTGTTTCAATCCTCTCTGCTATCTTAAGGCTGCAGTTTCTTTAAGGCACAAAGCAGGCAGGCAACAAATTATGTTTTAACCCCTTTTATACTTTGTATACAGTCTACAGCATACTACAAGTCACTGTTTTTGTGTTGGGGTCTCACTCTGTTGCCCATGCTGGAGTGCAGTGGCACAATCACAGCTCACCGCAGCCTTGACCTCCTGAGCTCAGGCAATCCTCCCGCCTGAGTAGCTGATTCTACCAGTACATGCCACCACACCTGACTAATTTTTTTATTTTTTTGTAGAGATGAGGCCTCACTATGTGGCCCAGTCTGGTCTTGAATTCCTGGGCTCAAGTGGTCCTCCCAAAGTGCTGGGATTACAGGCATGAGCCACTGTGCCCAGCCAACAAGGCACATTTAATCTGGACTTGAGGTTCCTAATTTTATCTATGTTGTATATGCGCTTTCACTCCAACTAGTTCATTAAGAGCAGCAATTCTTTTGTATTCCTGTGGCACTCACCAACTCAATAAATAAATCCATTAACTGCTATAGAAATATGTAACTTTATGACTTTAAAAAAGAGGGTTTATTGTTGCTCTTGTTTGCACTGCTAGCCACAGACAGGGGAAACATTGCAGTGGAAGTCATTCAGCACACATCTGTAGACAAGACACGCCAGAATGGCACGGACCGGCCGTTTCACAGCAGTCTTTCCTCAGGGCTTGCTGGGTAACACTGTGAGAGGCTCTGCACTGAGAGTCCCTGACCCACCTTCAACCCAGCAGGATCTTCCGCCACGGCTGTCTCACCAGGACATGACTCAAGGGAGCGGTGCAGCTCATCAATGGCTTCGCTCGTGACCTTCCACACGGCGCGAACACGCTCTTGGCTCGTACGGCCTGCATACAAAGAGGTGTTACCTAAAGATGCCACAGGATCACGTCCAGGCCAGAGCTGCACAAAGGCAACTTATTATTTGCCAGATGATGGATCTTTATTGACTAAAAATTCTTGGATCTGGATTCTAGACTCACAGGCTCCTCTGTCCCATTCTGATTTTTTCCCCCTTTTCTTAAATTACATAAACAATTATAATATAGGACAAACTAATAGAAAGTATAAAAAACTAAGATAAATCATGATATTTCTCATAGGTTTTTCTTCCCAGTTTTGAAGAGATGGCTGAGAAAAAGACAATACCAGCCAGTATTTTAGACAGAAACAACCCTAGGGTTGGATGCAAAGAAGAAAGGTCAGTGATAAAAAAGAGGTGGAGACAAGAGGATTTCCTGAGCCCAGGGGTTCGAGATCAGCCTGGCCAACTTGGCAAGACTTCATTTCTACAATAAATAAAAAAATTAGCCAGGCATGGTAACACATGCCTGTAGTCCAGCTACTTGGAAGGCTGAGGCGGAAGAACTGCCTGAGCCCAAGAGATCAAAGCTGTAGTGAGCCAGGATCATACCAATGGACTCCATCCTGGGTGACAGAGTGAGACTCTGACTCAAAAAAGCCAAGCTAGAAGAAGTCAGTTGAAGCTTAGGTCAACAGGGAAAGAGATCCTCTAAGCTGCAGGTCATGGTTAACTGTATCCCATCATGGGAAATACTTGGTACTATTAGTTCACTCATTGCACACAGAGAGCTCTATAGAAGTTAGTTAATAACTACAGGCAACTCAGTTGTATACAATTTTAGAGATGAAATAAGAGGTTTCTAGACAAATGAAAATTACATATGAAAATGTTTTAAAATGAAAAAAAAAAACCTTTTCTTTTTTTTTTTTGAAGGCGGGGTCTCACTCTGTTGCCCAGGCTGAAGTGCAGTAGTGCAGTGATATGATCACAGCTCACCACAGCCTCTATGTCCTGGGCTCAGGCAACCCTTCTGCCTCAGCCTCCCATGTAACTGGGACTACAGGTATGTGACACCATACCCAGCTAATTTTTAAAAAATTTTTCTGTGAAGTCAAGGTCCAAGCTGGTCTCAAAATCTTGGGCTCAAGCAGTCTCCTTCCTCGGCCTCCCAAAGTGCTGGGATTACAGGCATGAGCCACCACGCCCAGTCTCTCTCAAAATAATGTATCGTACTCACCTATTTTTGGACTGCATTTGACCTGAGTAACTTAAACCGTGGTTAAGAGGAAAACTACTGTACTAGGTGGCTCTTAACTCACTCACAGGTGAGGCTCTTGCCAGCAGGGCAAGGCCCTTGGATCTCACCTCCACAGCACTGACTGGGTCCTCCAGCAGTCACCTGGCCGGCAGCCTTCAGTCCCAGAGAACTCACAAGCTGGGCACCCTGGCCAGGAAGTGGCTGGGGAGGCACCAAGTGGGGAGGGGCAGGGGTGGTTCTGGTGAAGTCACTCTGCTGTGGTACTTGAGTGCTGCGTTTCTCATTAGTTCCTGCTCACAAAACAAGGGAAGAGCAGATTAAAGTTTAGCAAAGCAAGTGACAATACCATAAGTGCAAAGGTGAGGTCAAGAAAGTAGGGTCACTCCCATCCCAATGACAGGAGGGCTTCCTAGAGAATGCAGCATTTTAACAGTGCAAGGGAAAGGCAGCTTAGTCCACAGGAAATAGGGAGAGTTTTTATAAACCCCAGGTACAGTTTAAAAGAAAGCTCCCAAGCAGGTAATAAAACGGAAAGGTGAATGAATCAGCACATTTGTTATCAAATGGCTTCCTGAAAGCCTCCCATCAAGCTAATGCAAACTCTGAGTTCCAAGGCATAACCCCTGGTACCTTGCTCTGGGGAGAGGGCGAGAGCACCGAGCGCTTCTTCCAGCACCTGGATCTGCTGGAGCAACTTCAGACCTTTGTCTGGAAGAGCCTGGACGTTCACTGATGCCAGCGTACTCTGAAAAACAGAGCCTATCAAATGGCTCTCTCCTTTCAAGTTGTTAGAGGGACAGATTTAAGATAGCCTAAATGCCCAAACTCTGGAATTATGGTCTTTAAATTATGTGTGTGAAAACCAGACTTAAAACAACCCAGCAGGCTTACCAATCCTGAAAATAAACACGCAGGAAAAGGCTAAACATCCACCTATAAAACCTTCATATGAATGCATTTAACCCTTCTGTGGAGATCTTCTATCTGCCCATGGCAAGCCATGCTCTGACCTTAAAAACACACGCCAACAGTTACCTTCTTTTTTTTCAACTGTGTTGTAAGGTGCACCCACTGGGCAGCTGGATCTGAGGGTTCTTCCTTCTTGGAAACCCCTGAGGCAGAAGATACTTTTCTTTGCACACTCTGCTCAGGGAATTGAAGGTTCTCCTTCATCTGTGAGTCCAGAGTCAAGTCAAAGAGCAGGGGGCGCCCAGGCTCAGAGGAAACAAAAGCATCACCTTCCTCCCTAAGGCCACTGCCTGCGGCAGCCTCAGACCTCTTATCCAGGGAAAGCCCTGATGCCGCCACGGCCACTGCCACCGGAGCAGCCCCTGTAGCTGCCTCCTGGGGAGCAGGCACACTGTGGGTCTCCAGCTGGGTCTGGGAAAGCCCCCGGGGCGGCCTTTTCTGGCTGGGCTGCTTGCCTGAGTCCCCCTTGGCCTTTGTTTCTCTAGCCTCCCAGTCCTTGAGGTGCTCCTGGCGGACGGGGCCCTCTTTCTGGGCCTTGCTCACTGGGTGCTGCCAGTGAAGGTTTTGAGGCAAGAGCTGGGCTTCCTTTTCTCTCAGAGGCTCCGGCTCTCTTTGGACATCTTTACCACTTGGCTGCTCCTGAGGTGGTCTTGTCAGCTCGTCACCTCGGCACTCCTGGGGCCGAACTTCACAGAAGTTGGTTGTGTGTGTGCCCGCAGTCTCCTTTGCTTCACACTGAAACGCTGCTCTCTCCTCCCGAACTACCGGTTGAGGTTGCGTCTTCTTTATCACTGAGTCAGAGGAGAGGTCTTTCTCCACACAGCAGATAGACTCAGGCTTCTGTTCCCTCCTGGAATCGAAGAGATGCTTTTTCTTTTCCCTTTGCTTCTCACCAGCCATCTTTTCCTCCCCTTCACCTCTGATGAGCTGTTTCCAGAGAGCTGGTTCTTGATTCTTGTCAAGTGCCTTGAATGGGTTTCTCGGCTGGCTGGAAAGATGGTGAAAGGACTCAGATGCATGCTGAGACTTAATGGTTACAGAGTGTTCTTTGAAATTGGGCTCCTAAAGACAATGAAAATAATTCATGAAAACCTTCATGTCTAGAATGCCTTTTGCACAGGAAATGAAAACACAGCAAGAGCAGCCCAATATTTCTGAACCATTCCTGGCATTATTTTTGTGTCTACAAAAGACTGTGTGCCAAGCTCATAAAGAATTAGTTTTTCTTTTCTTTCTTTGTCTTTTTTTTGACTAGGAGTCTCACTCAGTTGCCCAGGCTGGAGTGCTGTGGCATGCTCACAGCCACACCTCGACAGGCTGGGCTCAGGAGATCCTTCCACCTCAGCCTTCCAAGTAGCTGGAATCACAGGCACACACCATCACGCCCGGCTAATTTTTTGATTTATTGTAGAGATAAGGTCTCACCATGTAGCCCAGGCTGATCTCGAACCTGTAGGCTCAGACAATTTTCTCACCTCGGCCTCCCAAAGTGCTGGGATTACAGGCTTGAGCCATCGCACCTGGTGGATTAGTTTCTTAATAGTACTTTTTTTTTTTTTTTTTAATTTGGAGTTGAAGCCTCACTCTGTTGCCCCAGCTGGCATGCAGTGGTATTCTCATAGCCACCGGAGCTTTGACCTGCAGGGTTCAGGTGATCCTTCTGCCTCAGCCTTCCAAGTAGCTGGGATTACAGGCACATGCCACCACATCACATCTGGCTAATTTATTTATAGAGAAGGGGTCTCGCTGAGTTGCCCTGGCTAGTCTAGAACCCCTGGGTTCAGGCTATCCTCCTGCCTCCACCTCCCAAAGAGCAGGGATTACAGGTACAAGCCACCATGCCCAACTTTAACCCTTCTTTCAATGCTTGGTTTCTTCTCCATCCAAGATCACACTTTTCCAGGCTTCAAGAAAAGTGACCAAACCAAAGTGCTTTTATAATCACAACAGTCACAATGTTTACTTTTCAGGAAATAGGATTCTCTCGAGATGAACTTTTGCACAAACCTCAATCCTGTCCTCCTGCCCTTGCTTTCATTTTGGCCTTAGAAAGAGTTCCCTGTGGGACTCTAGCATGAATTCAAGCCACACTTCTGCCAAAGCAGGTCTTGGCACCTTCCTGAGTCTAGTTTCTTGTGTACTGAACACCTGTAGGTTTCCTCCCCATTCTAACATTCCAGGGTTTAGAAATCATCCCTAGTTTACACGAATATCAAGTAGATGCTGCTCTAGAAAAAGATACTACTCTATAAAGATAATAGAGTTAGTCAAGGAAGTCTAATTTTTTCCTAAATAAGGGAATGCTGACTGCATTTAAGATCTCAAAAAATATTTAAATAATTAAAATGGGAGGCTCAACACTAAATCTTAAACACATCAAATGGTCCTTTGAATGAAAGTCCTGCCTTGCTTAAAGAAAACGAGCTTTCGGAGACAGTCTGATGAAGACTGACAGTTTATGTGGACTTCGAGTCCTTCTCAGGTGATGCTGTGTATGAAAAGTCGTAACATACCAGGTGTGCAAACATGAATATTCCTACCTGCCATGGAACATTTCCACACCAGTGGGTCCCCTCGGCCTTACTTCTAATGCAGCGGAAGAACAATCTAATGAAGCAGAAAACACAAATGATCAACGCTGTGGAAAGCCATTCAAACAAGGGATAAGTTTATTTTTAATCCATGAAAACATCTTGCAGCTGTGGCTTTGAGAGGTCACTTGAAGTCAATCACTCCTATGTGTGTATTAGGAAATCCTTGGTGCCTGCCTACCAGACACCCGATGTTGCAAGACCACCGTGGGAGGGAGGGAGGGAGGGAGGGAGGAAGGAAGGAAGGAAATGCTTTCCTGCACAAGACACTGATAAGGGCTAAGAAGTCAAAGAATCAAGATGGCCTGGTAACCACAGGGTGTGCATAGGTTTATTCCTTTTACTCTGTAAAGAATGACTAAGTTAGAAAAACGGGTCAACAACGGCTACTGAGATCAGAAAAGAGAGACAGCTAGACACTGTACGTCCTTGAGGGAGACCGCGATACTACCTATAAAGCAATGCTGCATTTTGCCTTTCCAAACAGTACTTCACATGACTGCTTTTTGCAGTACTTGTGTTTTTACAGATGTATTACTTAGGGCGATTTTCTTCAAAGTCAGTCTGTTATACGCAAGCCAAAATTCATCATAGAACAGCAGAGTAGAGCTCTGAAGGTTTCAGAAAGCCCTAATGACAAACATCTGAAATCCCCTCGCCACCGTTACTCAGTGTGAATATAACGCCTCTCATTACCAATCAGCGTGCCCTTGAATCCAGGCATTTTCCTAAAAGACAATGCTAAAGTCTTATTAATGATGAAGTCAGTGTTCTACAAAATGCTGATTCTGGGTACCTCATTCAGCTGGGGGCCACCAATTCATTTGTTGCTTGGATAGCCTGAACATTTCTCTATGTGCTGGAGGGGACAAATACCATCTTTTTACTGTCTGGTGATGAAAATTACCTTATGGGTATGATACACAGATGGTAGTCAAGGAATCTTTAAGTTGGAGAAAGAAATTTTCTTTCTGTTATTCAGTTTAGAGTAGACTTTATTCTGGATGTTTAGAATCAACATTATGAGTTGCATTATGGTGTTCAGAGACTAAGGTGACTTGGATACAATATTTTCTTTTGAAAATGAATTTTCTTTTTCCTTTGTGACTTTCTAAAACTGTTGCACCATTTATACTTCATACATTGTTACATCTTCATCAGGCTAATGTAATGTCTAGTTCGTTTGCAATAAATACACTGCTCTAGTTTCCTTGACTTAAATTAAATTAAAAAAATAAAGTAATACTGCAAAAAAAAAACAAAAACCCCTAAACAATTGAGAGAAAACAAAACACAAAACTAATCTGAATCTGCTTAAACGGCTAGATCCAATTACCAATTTATAGGAAATAGAAACAAAAGAGGAATGAACTAGACCATGGATAACTGAATCAGTAAAATCTTGACGGTGGTAAACGCTATAGGACAAACCACCCAAATTCTTCAACAAATACGTTACAAAGGAGAAAAAAGGATGAAGAGGAAATTTAGGAGATTTAAAAGACGTATTAGGCCAGGCTTGGTGGCTCAGCCTGTTATCCCAGCACTTTGGGAGGCTGAGGTAAGTGGATTGTGTGAGCCTGAGGGTTCGAGACCAGCCCAGGCCATCTGGCGAGATTTCATCTCTACAATAAATCAAAAATTAGCTGGGCATGGTAGCGTGCACCTGTAGTTCTGGCTACTTAGAAGGCTGAGGCGGGAGAACTGCTGCACTCTGGCCTGGGAGACACAGTGAGACGCCAACTCAAAAAAAAAATATTAAATCAATCCCAATTTGTGAACCTTATTTGGATTCTAATTTAAACAAAAAATGACTTTAAAAAATCTACTACATTTATGAATCTACTGGAAACTTGGGAACCAATGGTATATTAAAAAAAAAAAAAGTCCAGCCAATCACAGTGGTACACGTCTATAGTCCCAGTTACTCAGGAGGCGGAGGTAAGAGGATCACTTGAGGTCAGGAGTTTGAGGTTACTGTGAGGCATGATGGCAACTACGAATAGCCGCTGCACTCCAGCCTGAGCAACATACAAGATCCTGTCTCTAAAAAATAAAAAAAAATGTAAAAAGAGTCTAGGCCCAGTGCAGTGGCTCACGTCTATATTTCCAGCATTTTGGGAAGCCGAGGCAGGAGGACTGATTGAGCCCAGGAGTTTGAGACCAGCCTAGGTAACAGAATGAGACTGCACCTCTACCAAAAAACCAAAATGAGCCTGGTGAGGTGGCACATAGATCCCCTGAGCCAAGGAGATCAAATCTGAGGTGAGCCGTGATGGTGCCCCTGCACTCCACCCTGGGTGACAGAGTGAGACCTACACACACACACACACACACACACACACACAAAGATTCTCTATCTTTTAGAGCTACACACTACAAGGGGGAACCCCCCCAAAACCAGAATTATCCTCTGAAGGGCAGGCCCTTGTAGTACAAGCTTCCCCTGCTACGTAAGTGTTCTGGGAACCCATTGGCACCAATGTACCAGCTAGCATTGTTGTGAGAGGCTGGCTGCATCTGGCTTCAGTGAATGTTTTCAACACCTCTGCCCACTTCATGATAAGAGATTTACAAGTGCACCCGCCAACCTCACAATGAATTTCAGCAGTTTCAGACCCAAAAGAGCATGACCCCCATGCCCCACCCTCCTTATTCACTGGATCCCCCCCCACCCCGGAGCGACTTTTGTTATCTTTTCACAGATGAAAAAAGTCCTCAAGGGGAAACGTTCTGCCCAGGTGGAAGAAGTGAAACAAAAAGCGGCAGAAGGCATCAAAATTGACGCGTTCAAAAACTGTTTTGAGCAGCGGAAACAACATTTCAGTAGGTGTATTACATCAAGTGGAGAGTACTTAGAAGGTGACTGAAGTTGAAACATATAACAATAAATGCACCATTTTTTATAAATATATTCCAGTTTTTTAGGGGTCTCCCCTCGTAGAATATTCACTGGAATATATTATCTAGAATTTGTTTCAAAATAGGGCAGCAGTCAGGGGGTGTTGGGGATGGGACACACAAAGAACAAGATTAGCCACGAGTTAGAAAATGCAGCCCATACTACTCACCCAACAGTGCTTGTGTACGTTTACAGTATCCCATAAGGTACGAACCAGCCCCATGACGTATAACACAAACCACAACAGTCTGCTGACGTATAACACAAACCACAACAGTCTGCATTAGAATTCAAAGGGAACCCTGGAAGCTCCGATCGCTCAAGGCCATTACTTCCCCAAGGCGTGCGTGCAAAGATGAAAGGCGCCAGTGGTCAGGCATTCCACACGAGTGAAGCTAAACAGAAGGCATGTCCAGCCTCTTCCTGTCATGCAAACTCAGTTTTCCCACTCATGCTCATGATTTTTTTTTTTTTTGAGTAGAGGGGTCTTACCTAAGCTGGAGTTCAGCGGTACTGTCATGGCTCATCATAGCCTCGACTTCCCGGGGCTCAGGTGATCCTTCACCTCAGCCTCCCAAGTAGATGGGACTACAGGTGCATGCCTGTAGTCCACACCCCACTAATTTTTTTATTTGTTTGTAGAGATGAGGTCTAGCTCTGTTGCCCAGGATGGACTTGAGTTCCTAAGCTCAAGCAATCCTCCTGCCTCAGCCTCCCAGTGTTGGGATTACAGGTGTGAGCCACTACACCTGGCCAAGCTCGTGATTTTTAAAAATGCTGGTCTTTTTAATTTTTCTCACTGCAATAGGATATTATATTGAACATATGTAATACAATTTCCGAAATACTTGGAATGCATAAAATTCAAAGTACTAGCTACTATTAGAGGTACTACGACTTACAGAAATAAATCAAGGACAATTTGTTGCTGCTGTGTGAAGTCTATCAAGTACTTGAAATCTTTACCAAGAGAATATTTCATGAGCACAGTCATACACTACATAAGGACACTTTGGTCAATGACAGATTGCATATATAATCAGGGTACCATAGATTTTAACACTATATTTTTCCTGTATATTTTATGTGTTTAGTTACACAAATACTTATCATGGTGTTGTAACTGCTCAGACTTTAATACTGTATTTTTACTGTGTATTTGATTTGTTTAGATATATGACGGGGAACCCCAAAAAAACCAGAATTATTTTTGGAGGGCGAACTCCCTGTAGTACAGGCTTCCCCCGCGAGGTGAGCGTTCTAGGAACCCGTCAGCATCAGTGTACAAGCTGTTTGTTGTTGTGAGTGGCTGCATTTGGCTTCAGTGAATTTTTCTGAGATTCTTCCAACACCTTTGCCCGTTTCATGACGGGCGATTTACGAGCACACCCGCCCGCAGCACGCCAAGTGTTCTGCAGTTCGTGACCAAAAAACAACACGACCCCCATGCCCTACCCTCCCTATTCACCTGATCTCACCCTGAGGGACTTTTTTTGGTTTCCCTGAATCAAAAAAAGGCTACAAGGGGAAACATTTTGCCCATGTGGAAGAGGTGAAACAAAAAAAGCAGAAACGCTCAAAGGCATCAAAATGGATTAGTTCAAAAACTGTTCTGAGCAGTGGGGAAAGTCTCAATAGGCGTATTGCATCGAATGGAGAGTACTTTGAAGGTGACTGAAGTTTAAATGTGTAAGAATAAATACTGTTTTAAATAAATTCCCAGGTTTTTTTGCACCCCCCCAGCTCCCCCACAAATACGTATCACAATGTTACAACTGCTTAGATTTTTATTTCTAGTGTATACTGTATTTGTGTAGAATACAATTACTGATCACTGTTATAACTGCTTATAGTATTCAGTACAACATGCTGGACAGGTCGGCAGCCCAGGTACGCAGTAGGTAGAGCAAGTAGTGTAAGTTCACGCTGCGATGTTCACGTAACGACAAAATCACCTGACGAAACTTTTCTCAGAACGTATCCCTGATGTTCAAGTGACCACAGTATCTATTTTTAAAGCTCCAGCCATGGAGACTTTTAGGAGAAGGGCAAGATTTGGCGAAAGAAGAAAGAGCATCTGTTATGTGCTAGGTACCATGCTAAAAATGCTTTCA